CGACATTCATTAGTCTCATCTTTTTAATAAGAAACACAAAAATAAAAATAAAAATAAAATTAATATCCAGACTTTTGGTAGAGATAAATCATGACAATATTTCTTGTTACTCTTGTTTGACGAAGATCGGTACTTCTACTTGATCTTGATCGGAAATGACAAGAAAATAAAATAAATACCGTATCCATTTATCTCAGCAACTACGTAAATAGTAATCAAATCACGGATTTTATTAGTCGCATCACTATACTATCAAATACATAAATGTTGTTATGAAAATTAAAACTTGCTATTGAACAAATGAATTTTCATTCCTACGTATTAATTAGTACCACATTGATAATGAAATTTTGGGACTTCGTAGTCCACATCAAATGCATAAATGTTGTTACGCCAGTCTCATGTTTTTATTACAAAAGTACATAGTACTAACATCAAAAATTACTGTTTTGTATCAAATGAACTTTCATTTTGACTTATTAGATTGTATCACATCTGATAATGAAATTTTGGGACCTTCCAATATTCACCAAACTACGACATTCATGTGTCCCATCTTTTTAATAACAAATACATAAATAACATTGAAATCAATATATTTGGTTTAACAAATAAACTTTCATTCCAATTTATTAAATTAATGTCCGTATGATAATGAAATTTGAAGACTTTCCAATCCACACGAAATCATATTATATTCATTAGTCTCATACTTAAATCGAGTATTGAAATTATAACTTTTTTTTTTTTTTAATGAATCAGCATTCTGACGTATTAATAGTATGTTTGAGCCCCATTTTATTGTAAGAATACATTTTGAAATAGTAATTTGACGAAGAATATGTGACTAAAAAATGAGGAAAAAATTTGAATTTGCATTTAATATATATTATTTTATTAAAAATGTGTTGTTACAAAAAAGAGAAAAAAATGTATTTTAAAAATAATGAGAATCAAATAAGGGTTAAATAGTATAACATTGACAGTGAAATTTAGTGACTTCCTAATCCACACTAAATCACGGTATTCCTTAGTCTCATATTTTCATTAGCAAATACAAAAATATTATTAAAATTAAATTAATTTTTGTATCAAATAACTTTCATTTAAACTTATTAAATAGTATCACATTGATAATGAAATTTGGGGACTTCCCTATCCACATTATACCACGACATTCATTAGTCTCATCTTTTTAATAAGAAACACTTTTTATTTTTATTTTAATTATACCTATTTATTTTTATTTTTAACAAATGAACTTTCATTCTGAATTATTAAATAAGGACAGAACGATAATGAAATTTGAAGACTTTCCATCCACACAAAATCACATATTCATTAGTCTCATACTTAAATAATAAATATAAAAATAGTATTGAAATTATAATTTCTTAAGAAATGAACTTTCATTTCGACTTAAAATAGAATCACGTTAGTCTCATCTTTTTAATTGAAAAACTAGTGAATGCATGTGCGTTGCACATGTAATGGGTTATGTAATGTAAATAATAATGTTGAATTTTGGTTGTCGGATTTCATTGAAAAATGAAACTTGCTTTGAACAAATATTGCATTGAACTATATAAATTGTGTGTCAACGGGTATATTTATATTGTTGGTGATAATATTAAGTAAAAAACAGATTTGTTTCATGTCATACTTGGATACATGAATTGTCACATGTTTATACGTACAATAAACAAAAGCTAATACTACAACTAGAGTTGTTGGGAGTCGAATCCGGTGGACGGAGAACATAAACATGCAAAAGAGAATCAATTACCTCATTCTCGTTCTCATAGCCTATGAAATCTATTTTTCATGTTAAGACTCAAGCAAACAAATTATGACCAAATATAGATGTTATGATCAAATTATTTGCAAGAATAATAAACCCCAAATCTGAATAAAAAATTACTTTTGTAAGAAGAATCACTATAGCAGAAATTATTCATGAAGACCAAACTTTGAAGATGGAACATAGATGTGATAGCTTTGAATTTCCCTTTCCTTCTCTTCTGTAACTTCTTGTACTAATTATATAGTACATTTACTTAGAGAACATTATATCACTCATCTTAAGTCATTAGTGTTTGGGAAAAAAGTTCAAAGCCTGTTGACAATTTAAAGATCTGGACAATGCATATAAGCATAAGCATAAATGTGCATTGAATGCTGACATCGATAAGTGGAGCATGGAACCGACTTCTTTTTACTTTTGCAGTGTAGTGATAATGATAACGACATAATTGTTTTAGAATAAAAATTTATTTGTTTTATATGTTGTATTTTATTATTTTGAATGTTGAGGGACGAAAGTGAAGTATATTTTAAATTCTTATAGTTTTGGATCAAATATTTGAATTTTGATAGAGTGATGATAAATATATTAATATGGTACTCGTTGGATAGCTCGTAATTAATTATGTAAATTAAGCTCCAAAAAAAAGTTAGTTCGGATAAGTCAGCCTCAAAATATTAAAATTCAAAGAAATTGTTTCATTAATTAGCATATACCCAGCTTACCCTCAATTACAACAAAAAAGGAAATGTATGTGCACTAAATAAAGACAAGGGTAATTCTGAAAATTAGATTATGAATGTAGGGTGTAATGGTCCATTCAATTTTAAATGGTAACTGTCAAATTGCATCGTATAGGGAGAAAAGGCAAACAGAAACCAAAAAAAAAAAAAAAACTTAACTCAAAAGGAAGAAACAACCAATCCACACGGCTCGGCTAACCGCCTAACTCGAAAATGACTCGGTCTATATGGCAATTAAGCTTATGAACAGTAAACTCAAACCCCATCTTTTATATTTAGTTAGATACATAAATAGTATTAAAATTAAAACTTTACTTTCAACAAATAAATTTTCATTCCAACGTATAAAATAATATGCAATTGCCAGTGATATTTGGGGACTTCCTAGTCCACACCAAATAACTATATTAGTTAGTCTGCGTTTTTATTAACAAATACATAAATAGTATTAAAATTAAATTATTATTATTTTTGTATCAAAATGAACTATCATTCCGATTTATTAAATATTATGATCCACAACAAATAACAATATTCATTAGTCTTGTTACGTCTTGAAAAACTAGGACTCAAGAACAGGCCCCGGTGGTCTACGTGGCAAATAGTTTGGGGGCCCATGCCTCATACGTTGGCCTAGGGTAGCCCAACTATGTGCTGCCGACCCGATCCAGGCACGAGGGACCCACCTCTCTTACATAAAGCACCTGGACAGACCTCTCTACAAATAGACCCCATTGATAGAGTCGGTGTAAGACGAAGCAGTGACGAGATCTTGAATGAATCTCACCATGTCAGCTAACAAGACAACTCATTGCCACTACTACCGTCACCATCCTATTTGATCAAGTCTAAAAGTACAAGTTAGACATTATGGATACCAAAGTGGTAAAAGCATTTAAGGTGGGGATTGATTGATGTACATGATAAGAAATGAAAGTCATTTGGATGAGGCCACGTGCACTATCATGCAATGGACCCCATTCATTTTGTCCAAGTATAAAAGTTCACACTTAGTCTCATCCAAGGTAATGCAAGTTTAGACTCTCAAAGTTATATTCTTGCTCCACACATTTTTAATTATTGACTCCCAAGCTGACCCCCTTTTTATTTATCCAGGCTTACATTCAAAACTCTCTCATACTCTAAACTATTTCTCCAACTGACTTGACCGTTGAGTGTGCGCGGCCAAATCCATCCCCTCCGAATAAGGCCACGTGTGACTTAACGGTTTGTCTAAGTGTATAGGAATTTGTCTTACGTGGATGTGAGAGGTCTTGGGATCTATTGACCACATCAATTGTACGTTTTTGGAGTCAATAGATTGACGTCGTCTGTGAGAAGTTCGACACCGTAACCACGAACATCCTTATGGTAAAAGTCATCTGAAACAGAACCTTGGAAAAAGGTTTGGTTCTTGAAGAAAGAACCACTGCAAAGAAGAAATATCTAAAACGCCTACTTTTAGCTCAGAATCAAATACTTGCTATTAGTTCTAGCCATCACGGATCGCAGAGTAGAAATAGACAGCAAGAGGCTTTTGAAGAAGAGGTCCTCTATACAAATGTGAATACGCGCCGTCCCCACTACTAACACAGGCGAGACGGTACCACAGCATGCTTAGCCACGGAAGTAGGGGAAATGGCCACGAATATGAGAAATATGGCCCAGCAAAATGCTACCATACAACATTTATTCATGCAAATACACTAACAGACAGGATATCAGATACTTCAGCATGGAATGTTTTCACAAGAAGGTGAGGAGAATAACACGGCAGCATAACCACAAAGAGGCCCTGTATCCCACTTGGTATACCAGTAGTGGACCCAAGCGAGACACACGCTCCCACCTTAGGCCAAGCGTTAACCACAACCACTCTAAATGCAGTACCCTATTTGGTGTATGACGAAGTTGGACCTAAGGCTCAAAGGTAGCCGAATCTATCCAGGGAAAAAGGTAGAGGGAGAAGTAGGGAGCTTTGAGACAGGTAACATTGCACCTACCATCGAACAAATAGCCAGGCACTGAGAATAGCATGTCAAAGCCATATCATGAAGAACTAGCAGTCACTCGTATTGAGAAAGGAAATGCCCATCAGATGAGAAGGCACGCACCTCAGTCAAGGCGAGAGAGAGAACCAAGACATAATAAGGCAATGTGACACCACATGAATGAATCGCTTCGATGGGGAAACAAGGAAAAAGGAACCAGGACAAGAGGAGAGCCAAGGCCCAGGAGAGAGCCCTCGGCCAATGCTAATAATTCTCCCATAAGAGAAATTGACACCATCATAGGCGGTCCACACATAGGGAGAGATTCCAAGATCGTACTGAGAAACTACGTAAGAGAAGCAAAAGATCCTCCTATGGTGAGCTACTTGATCAATAACAAGAAGAGAAATTGACACCATCATAGGTGGTCTACACATAGGGGAAGAGTCCAAAAATGCTAAGATGAATTATGCAAGGGAAGTAAAGGACCCCTCCATGATGAGCTATTTGATCAATAGCACTGGCCGTAGATCCAGGAATGTTCCACCAATAAACTTTTCTCCGGAAGACACCACGAGGGGTCATTATCCCCACTGCAACTCACTGGTGGTACAAGCCATCGTAGCCAGGAATGGATTGAGGCGCATATTGGTAGACAATGGGAGCTCTGTTAACATCCTATTTGGAACCACTTTTAACAAAATGATGGTGGACCACGAACTCACCCCCATGACCGCTCCCTTATACAGTTTTACTAGTGACAACATTGTCCCCAGGGGGAGGATCACATTGGCAGTGGAAATGGGAGAGCAATCATTTAAGGCTCATCACTTCATGAAATTCCTCATTGTAGACTACGATCTGCTTACCATGGAGTATTTGGACAACCCGCCTTAAAAGAACTCGAGGCTGTAATATTCGTACATCATCTATGCATGAAATTTCCCATCGAGAAAGGAATCGGTACGGTGCGAGGAGACCAAATGGGCTCGAGAGAATGCTACATTTGCTCATTAAGAAAATTTGAGCCCTGCAGTGTAAATATGGTCCTGGTGGATGCTGAAATGGTTGACGCACCTGAAAAATGTTCTATCCCTAAATAAGGAGAAGACGTCAATATGATAGACGCTCCTGAAGAAGGGATCATTGATGTGGATTTAAATCCTAGGGTCACAGAATCTTTCCCTGTGAACTTACATGACCCCACAAGAGTGTTACAAATAGGGAAGGAGCTTGAGTCAGAAGAAAAGGCCACGAGGACTTTCTACTCAACAATTTGGACATATTTGCGTGGAGACACGAAAATATGGTGGGCATTGACCCCAAAGTTAGTTGCCACTGACTTGATGTAGACCCAAAGTTCACCCCTCACAAGCAAAAAAGGATAGCCTTGAACCTGGAGATATACGTAGCCTGAAAGAAGAGGTGCAAAGGCTTATATCTAATGGGTTGGTCAGGGAGGCCGTGTACCTAAAGTAGATATCCAATCCCGTCTTAGTAAAGAAATCCAATGGCAAATGGAAAGTTTGCATAGACTTTTCCATCCTCAACCAAGCTTGCCCAAATGACAGATTTTCACTTCCAAGGATCGACTAGCTAGTCGACACTAAAGCAAGCCACAAGCTCTTGAGTTTCATAGTTGCATACTGAGGGTACAACCAGATCCCTATGCACCCAACAGACTAGGAAAACACCTCGTTAATCACTGATAGAGGCCTCTACTGCTACAAAATCGTATCGTTTGGTTTGAAAAACGCTGGTGTAACCTATCAACGGCTATTCAATAGGATGTTTTCCGACCTCATCGTCAATGACATGTTTGTAAAGAACCTCAGGTATGTAGATCACATTGAACACTTGGAAGCTACCTTCAAGATCTTGAGGGAATACCAGATGAAGCTGAATCCATTGAAATGCGCTTTTGGTGTCGCTTTTGGAAAGTTTTTGGGTTATATGGTTAACTAGTGAGGTATAAGGTGAACCCTGAGAAAATTAAGGTATTGCTGGACATGAAATCCCCCAATAAGCCCATGGAAGTACAATGTCTAATTGGGCGCTTGACAATACTGAACCGCTTTATCTCTAAAGCTACAGATAGATGCTTCCATTGTTTAAAATCTTAAAGGGAGGGAAGAGTTCCAGTGGAACGAGGAATGTGAAGAGACTTTCCAAGGGCTGAAGAAGCACTTGGGCTAAGCCCCTCTTCTCTCGAAGCCCAAGGAGGGAGAAGCATTGCTACTATATTTGGCCATAAGCGCCAAAGCTGTAAGTTCAGTGCTGGTAAGGGACGAAGGCGACACTCAGTTACCCGTCTACTACGTAAGCAAGGCCCTCATGCCAGCTGAAACGCGTTATATTGACATGGAAAAGCTTGTTTTGTCCCTTATGTTCACTTCTAGGAAGCTGAGGCCCTACTTTCGAGCCCATAGCATGCACTTGTTGACAAGCTTCCCCCTCAAGCAGGTGCTCCAAAATCTAGACGCATCAGGGAGGCTAATGAAATGAGCTGTGGAATTTAATGAAGGGGCAGACAGTGGCGGATTTCATAGAAGAATTCACTGAAGTAACGAACATCAATGTAATAATGGAACCGACAGACCCCCCCAACCTGAAAATTGTTTGTTGATGGGTCCTCCGGGGAAATGGGATCTGGAACTGGTGTACTGATGGAGAGTCCAGAAGGTCATAAACTTAATTGTGCAGTGAGGTTTGGCTTTAAGTCGTCCAACAACACAGTTGAATACGAAGCACTTCTAGCGGGCCTCAAATTGGCCAAAGAAATGCAGGTAAAAAACTTGGCAGTTCGCAGCAACTCCTAACTGGTTGTAAGCCAGGTCAGCGGTAGTTTTACAGCCAAATATAAGGGCATGGAAGCGTACCTGAAGAAGGTTATAGACCCGCTCCCATGTTTTGAAAAAATTAAGCTGAACCAAATCCCATGAGCAAATAACATGCATGCGGATTCCCATGGAGTTTTTCCTTCCTTCCCATTCTCTCATTTTTCTCCATTTTTCTCTAGAGGAGGTGGTGGATTCGCCTTTGAGAGGCGGGTCAGCTCGTCGCCCTGGTTTTTATAAGTTGAGGAAGTAGAGCCCAAGGGTTTCTTATTTATTGCCTCTCCTAGGCCCCTAAAAAAAGCATATACGGCTTGACATACTCCTTATCATGTTGACCTACGGATGAAGAGAGAAGCATCATCAATTAGGCCCAAGAAAACGCAATTCACATAGTAAGAAGAGGGTAAAACCTTTCTTACCCTTAGTAGCCATTAGCCTATGTGTTAAAAACAGATTCCGCTTGCCAATGACATTCTTAAAAGACCTCCTCTTCGAAGGCAGTTCGTAATGGCCTTTATGATGCTCCACTAAGACGGCTCGAGCTCGAATCGATTAACTGCAGCTGCGCAAAGTTTACGTTAGGCCAAAATTAAGGAAATGAAAGGGAGGGGGAGGGAGGGGGGAACAAAAGCATTAGATAAATGCCACTAGAAAAAGGTTTCACTCACTATACTCGTGGTATTAGGTCGGCACGGTGATCTCTAGGATCGCATCTCCCTCCACTGTTGCCCACGACCTCTAACCCAGAACCATGAGGACTTCCAATTTTTGATAGAGGTTGGGGTCCCCTAGATAAAAGGAGAATGTGGGCCCCAGGGGTTCATGTAGTACCACCCCTTGCAGTCACTCCCCCTACAGAGGCCCGGGGTTGAAAAAGTGTTTGAAAAACGTGAGGGGCATATCCTCGCCAAGAGTGACCTCATTCCAAAGAAGAAATGCCCTTGCTAATTGGCTCCATGCACTTGGCACTAGCTGGGTAGGGGCTAAGTTGCAGTGCCTAAGGATGGAACTAAAGAATGAGTGTAAGTGTAGCTTCATCCCCCCACCTAGGATGGCCTCGGTAACTGCTACGCACCCTTCTCTAGGGAAACAAGCTCTCTCATCAGGGGCCATCACAAACATTTCTATATTATCGAGGATCCTAAACCTCTCCCTAAATTTCTTCAACTCATCCTTCTTAATATTTGTGGGCCACAAAGAAGCCCACCACCTTATACTGGGGACCATCTTGCATCATTCATGCATTATAAGGGCCCTCCATGGCCTCCATAATCCTTTCAGTGGGAATTATAGGAGCCACAGTCGCCTCGGCACAAATTAATGCCATATCTACTTTGGAAGATTCCCAGACGACTTCTTTGAAGTGGAGGCCATTTTAATGTGAACAAATTGGAAAATCTGAAGATATTTGGGTACTTACATAGGTTTTGGATGTTGGAAAGTAGGAAAATAGAGTTGCTCACCGGACAGGGAATGATGGATGTTCTGGAAGATTTCAAAAGTTTTCAACGTGCTTTTAACTTTTGACTTTCGCAAAATGGGAAAAACAAAAGGAAAGGAGTAGGTTTTGGACTAGCTGCCCCTACCGCTGCCGCCACCATCCTATATGGTCGAGTCTAAAAGTACAAGTTAGGCTTTATGAATACAAAAGTGGTAATAGCATTTGAGGCGGGGATTGATTGATGTACATGATTAGAAAGGGAAGTCATTTGGATGAGTTAACGTGCACTATCATCCAATGGACCACATTCATTTTGCCCAAGTATAAGAAATCACACTTAGTGCCATTTAATGGTAATGCAAATTTAGATGTTCAAAGTTATATTCTTGTTACGCACATTTTTAATTCTTGACTAGCAAGCCGACCCCCTTTTTATTTATTAGAGGTTCACGTTTAAAACTCTCTTACACTCTAACCTATTTCTCCAACCAATTTGACCGTCGGAGTGTGCGCGGTCAACTCCGTCCCCTCCAGAGATGGCCACGTGTGACTAACGGTTCGTCCAGTATGCAGGAATCTGACTTGTATGGACGTGAGAAGTTTTGGGATCTGTTGGCCACATTATTGGTACGTTTTTTGGGGTCAATAAATTTCATCTTTTTAATTAAATACATAAACAATAATCTATTTTTTTTAACAAATGAACTTTCTTTCCGATTATTAAATAATGTGATGACAATAATGAAATTTAAAGACTTCCCAATTCACACCAGTCATGATATTCATTAGTCTCATACATAAATAGCAAATACAATAATAGCGTCGAAAATTATTACTTTTTTTTTCAAGAGATGAACTTTCATTCCAACTTAAAATTGAATCGATTCAATATGAAATTTGGGAACTTTCCAATCCACACCTAATTATATTTGTTAGTCTCATCTTTTTAATTGAAAATACATGAATAGTATTGAAATTAACTTTACTTTGAACAAAGAAGTTTTCATTCCGACAAATTAAACAGTATCACACTGATAATGAAATTTGGGAACTTCCTAATCCACACCAAATCATGGCACTACTCTCATGTGTTTTATTAGCAAATACATAAATAGAATATTAAAATTAAAATTATTTTTTTCACATCAAATGAATTTTTATTTCGGCATGTTAAAAATTATCATATGGATAATGAAATTTGGGGACTTCCCAATTCACATCAAACTACAACATTAGTCTCATCTTTTTAATAGCAAATACATGAATAACATAAGATTAATTAATTTTTTTAATATAACAAATGAACTTTTATTCCAATTTATTAAATAACAATGAAATTTGAAGACTTTTCAATTTACACCAAAAAGGATATTCATTAGTCTCATTTTTTTAATTGAAAATACATTAATAGCAAAAACATAAATAATATTAAAATTAAAACTTAGATACTATTTTATGAATAATTTATAAATTATAATAAAGTCTATATATATATATAGGGGATTGCGGAAACAGGAAGAAAAGTAGTTGAAGACAAAAAAATTGAAGTAAATTAATTTTATTGATTGATAAAGTAATACAAGAAATTTTGAACGAACTGAGATGCAGAAATATAAATT